AGAGCATCCATAATGATGCTCTCTATTTCTTAGCTAAAATTTGGCTAAGAATATAAGAAAGCTATTTTAGGAGCTTTCTAAAAAATTTCAACTCCAACCATACTCCCTAATTTGGAGAGTCATAAATGCTATAACTCTTTTTTGATTGGTCCATCTCTATTAAAAAATAAAATAAAAAATAATTAGCATTAAATAAATGTTTGAAATACTCATTAAATAAAACAGCATTAAATTATAGAGAGCCATTAGGAGTCCTTTCTCTCTCCTCAGATTTAGGAGCTCCTAGAGGACTCTCTATTTTAGGAGCTCCTAGAGAACTCTCTATTTTAGGAGGTAGATAGGGAGCGTGGTTGGAGTTGCATTTTTACAATTCCTCTCTAAAATTTGTCTAAGGATGTGGTTTAGGGAGCCCATTGTGGATGCTCTTAGCTTGGCTATTTACTCAACATTAGAAGAATCAAAACAAATATTATTAGGGGCATCTCCAACAGCCTCTTCAAAGGCTTTGGGACACTAAAATAAGTGAGCCACATTAGCAAACCTTCTCCAATAGCCTTGTTAAACACACTCACCAAATCTAGAACTCTTCACTCTTCAACGCATTTATTAAGATTTGGAACAACAAAAGTTGTCTTGGAATGGTAATTAAATCGAATTAAATCGAATTAATTATTAGTGCTTGTATAAAAAAACAAAAACAAAAGTCAAACATTGAATTAATTAAACTGAAAAGGCTGATGGGGGTACAAATTAGTAAAGCAGCAAACTTTATCCTTCAAATTGCCACGTAGGTCAACAAACCACAATTTGAAGAGACTATTATCTTTATTTTTGTCTTAGATCTCTATTCTCCAGCAAAACAAAATCTTATGAGAGCGCACCTAGGGGGCAAATTAAGCATTTGTGCCACTGAGGTGCTAGAAAACTCAAAAACGACTCCACAAGCAATTGCAAATCTAGATGACTTGAGGACTCATGCCAAGCAACTTTTTGAATATTAAAAAAAAAAGGAAAATCAAAGAAAAAAGAAAGGGAGTCGAGCAAAACCAGGTAAGAATCTATGTGGTTGTCTCTCCAAATGAAGGGGGAGAAAAGATCTTTCTCGCTCAAATGTGATGTTATATGATGCTGGAAAGTTTTCTAGCACAAGACAATAGCAAAGAAACGCTGGAATGTTGCAAAATCTCAAAGCATATTTCAGCGTTTCTTTGCTATTGTCTTGGGGTTTTTGCTAAAAATATGGTGATAGGGGTACGTTTAGCCCTCTCCAATCACCAATGGGTCATGCTAGCAAAAGGCCCAAAAAATGCTGCCTTTTTTTCTCCACGTGAGGACCTAAAACCAAAAAAGGTTGGAGAGGTATGCAAAACATGGTCTACCCAAGGCCACATTTTAGTAGACTAGTTTGAAAAATTAGCTCTAATTTCTTCAGCCAATCCTTTTCAAGCCACAAGGAGGGGTTTATGCCTACCCGTCAAATACATGCCAAGCAAATGAATTTTCTCGTTTATTTGCACTGACCCAAGCAAACAGTCAAACAATTCCACATAGCCAATTTTTCGAGTTATTATACTAATTCCCAAAGCCAAATACTAAGCCTTATCAAGACCTCAGTATTATTTCAAAAAGAAGAAAAATCAAGCATAAAATCCACTCTGCATTTTGAATTACAACACCAAGCGAGATTTGTACCATCAAGACCGAATGATCCCAACGCTGTCATGTAAGATCTGCACACCAAAAAAAAATTAAATTAAATCAACCTCTTTGGGGCAATCTCTTTAGGTTCTCACAAGCTAGATGCAAAGACGAGAGTGTTGGAGAAATCATTCCATAAGCCAAGAGGCAACTAGACTGCTACATTAAGATTGATAAGGATGTCATCGTGTTATGCTATGTCAAATAGTAGTCTTAATTAACGTTAAGAGGAATTAGAAATTTAGATGTAGAAGAAACTTTTTTTACCAGGAACAGACGAGGATCTTAATTAAAGCTAATAGTAATCTAGATTAAGGTTAAGAGGAATTGGGGATTGGCGCGAAGAAGAAATTACTTTTACCTGGAACATGCGAGTTTGAGAGAAGAAAAACGCAATCACCTATAGTAGTGCACTACTGGAACAGACAAAGATCTCATTGTGTGGTGGGGTGCTAAAGATTAAAAGAAATTGGGGATCGGGATGAAGAGTAAATTACTTTTACCTGAAATAGATGAGGATCTCATCGTGTGGTGAAGAAGAAATCAATTATACTTGCAAGAAAATTTATTTGTCATGCAAAAGCAGCTGTTTGTTTTAGTCTTGATTTTCTTCTTGAGAACTCATTGTTCTATGGAAGATGGTGGTGGGAGCTCGTTGGCATACACAAAACCAGCAAGTGCACTTGAGTATCTGTTACCACTTCACCCTCTTCTCTCAAGTCTTCATCTTCTTCTGGGAGTGGTGTGGCAGATGGCTCTAGTAGCACAAAGATGGCAGGTGTGTGCTTCCACATCATCAACTGGTGTGAAAGGATCTCCATCAATTGGTTACGGATCATCGTACATGTTTCTCATAATGGATGAGATACTGATCCACATCAACTACACAAACACAGTTCCAAACAAAAAGTTACAAAAAATAATGTTCATGACTCGGAAAAATAAAATGAGGCATAGTGTACTTTCTTTTCTTTTCTTTTGTTTTTTGGGTCAGGTGACGGTTTGATAGGTTCAGAAACCCTCTCTAACACAAAGAAGACAAGAAACACATTCGGTGGGCTCCATAAGAAAAAATTGGAAATTGGAATGAAGAAAAAATTACTTTTACCTGGGACATTCGAGGATCAGAGAAGAAAACCACAATCAACTATAGCCACACACTACTGGAACAGAGGAGGGTCTCATTGTTTGGTGGGGTGCCTGTTGTGTTCCTTGCAAGTGCCAATATATGGTTAGTATAGTGGTACAAGTAAGGGTGTCGAACCATAGGGACCGGTTAGACCTCTATAAATTACTAGTTTTGAAAGAACCCTAACTAAAAATGAAAGTGACAAATTGAAAGTAGTTTTTGTGTTGTAAATGAAAAATAACTTAAAATGCAAGAAGAATACAACAGTGAATGATATATTGATATAGAAAGAATAGGGATAAGACCTGGGATTTCGAATTCACCATTGCAAAACCAATTACATGTTTATAAAATAAAACCGTATTCAACTACCAATCTGTTTCCAGAGTTCGTTTTACATATATATGATCAGTCATATGATGTGTGGTTTTGATCAAATTCTCCTAATCTGCAACCTAATTGGGATGTTCAACTTTGGTTTCAAGTTAAGAGTCATTAGCATGCAAGAAAACGTTACAGAACCAAAGAAAATACACGTCAGGATGTTTGCATAGCATTCTCTTCATTCATTCACATGTCTACTAAGATTAAGCATGATGTTTACTATAACCTTGTCCAGATAAATGTAGGCAACCCTAATGGTGATCAAACATTAAAATTGACAAACAAATTTAACAATAGGTTTAGTGAATAAAACAAGAAGCAGGTTGATGAACTGAATAATTTAACTTAGAAACATGGATCAATGTTGCAAGGCTACATCGAAATCCTTAGCTATGGATTTAGTTACACATCATGTTTACAGAGATTAAAACGAAAATAAACAATATGAGTGAAAATAAATTCAAGAGAGGAAACCCTTGAACCAATTCTGATGTTGAACTTCTCTAAGAATAGTCTCTTGCGATGAGTCCTGATGGTGGAAATATATGGAACGGCCAGGGTTTAAGTGTGCATGAAAGGAGAGAATAACAAAAAGGGCTTCAGGGTTGTGAAATTCTTCCAGAATAAATAGGGTCTGTAAAAGTGGCTAAAAGGCAAGTTTTTATGGGGTAAAAGAGGCTGCAAGATATTCCAAAGAGATCCTAACAAATTAGCCTTTATTTTGCACGTTTTTTTGCCTTATTTGGCACCTCCAAATCAGGCTAGAGATCCTTATTGCTTTCGCATTCTGCTCTTAGTCTTCAAACAAGTCAGGTTTGCCTTGGATTCTTTATTTGGACTTCAAAACAGGTCACGAAACTTGTTTCCACGTTTGAATAAGGGTCAGCTCCAAAAATGGCATGTTTTCATTTATTTTCCCTTCAAGTTGATCCTAAAGTAGATGCAACTGCATACTAACACAAAATAGGGTAAAACGCTACAAGTTTAACTCAAAAACATCACAAATAGACAAAAATGGATGGTATAAATGTATAAATATATGAGTTATCAGTGCCAAAGACTAAAAGAAATTGGGGGATTAGGATGAAGAATAAATTACTTTTACCTAGAATAGATGAGGATCTCATTTTGTGGTGTAGTGTAAAAGATTTAGAGTAATTGGGGTTCGAGATGACACGTGAGATAACTTTTTTATGTGTCATCGTATTATTAGTTGGGGATAGTAAAACAATATTATCCCCATTACAAGTAAGTTCTAATGGTGATGGGGGAAGGGATTGGGTAAAGAGAGAGAAGACAAAAAAAAAATAAAAATAAAAATAATTTATGTTAAATTTATTATTATTATTTTTTTACTCGTGGCACTTATGTAGCATCTGCCTCACTAAAAAGTGAATCTCATTCATATCATGTCAGTGTCTTTAACAAATTATTTAACATATTTAATGATTGATGCCAAAGTAAAACGCAGAACATTGGTTAATAGGGTGTCACTTTAACTTCTACCAGGCAAAGTGGAATTTGATCACAGTTTCAGAAGACAACAAAATTAAATCTAATATATGTAAGAGACAAACATATTTATATGCAATATTGCATTTCATCCATACCATTGAACGATTTGTTGTGTTCATTATTTACATTTACAATCACAACATCGCTCTTTTGATGCTTCAAAGTTCATACTTACAGTTATTTCGATTCACTGTATACCGCCATAGAATACAGCAATGTTGCTGACATAAGATCTATCAACTTGTACATTGCAAGCACAAAATAAGAGGGGGGTAAAAAAAAATAAAAAATCCACCCTTCTGACTTCCGAGTCTTCTCATCCATTCTGGAGAATTAATTACAATTAAGAGAACCCTTGAAGAACAAGGAACTTAGATGCATGTAATGTAAAATTGTAGACTTAATTTAGGCTTTAATGCGCCTCATTAATGCAAGATAAGCTAATAATCTATATGCAAAAAACATAAACAACAAGACACAAACGCTCACCACAGGGCTAATTTGCCCTGCAACATCCTGTTCAACAAACTTGCAGTTTACTTTATGATCACCTGCATGATGACGACGTTGAGATGAGCAGCCCAAGAGGGAAGAGATTTTAGGACCTTCCCCATATTGCACATTGATTAGCAGCCTATAACTATAAAACGTAGTAGAAATATATTTGATCCAAGCCAAACAGGACGGAACCTTATGCACGTAATATCCTCCGGTTAGCACAAAAGCTAGCATCGTCACGGTGGCTACGGTGGAAGCCTGTTTGGCATCCATGATAGCAGCGCCTAAAGCAAGGCCAAGCCCTTGAGACACAAGCACATAGCCTAGTAGAACCAGTAATGTCAAGAGAAAAGCACCGAAATCGGGTTTTAATCCAGCCATCCAGTAAGTGATGGTGAGAAAGATTGTAGGGAGAATGAGCTCCATTGGTAAGTCTCCAACCAATCGAGCCATGAAATATGAAGACAATGTGTACATACCCGAGGCCTGTTCCTTGAGGAAGATGGCGCGTTCTTGCGGGAATGCGAAAACCGAGTTGAAAGAGGGCAGGACACCCCAGAAAATAGAGATGAAGAAGAGAAGCCCTAAACGATCCTGGACATCTAAATAATCAGACTGCCACCACATTAAGCCAGCTAACAAGGCTCCAGCCGCTACTTGGAACACTCTCAGTGAGTTGAAGGCTTCATGCTTTCGTTCCTTGAGGCTTCTTTGCAGCAAAATGTTGAATTGGTTGAACCAAGTGGAAACCCCAGGGATTTTTGTGAGACCAATATTTCTGCGCTCATCTTTGTTACAAGAATGGTTCTCGATGTAGGTATTTTCTTTGGTTGATACAACAAGGCCATTTCCCAAGCACTCAGCCTTCACCTTGGGAGCTAACAACGTATTGTATGAGGAAACAAGGATTTCTTTCATGTTGGGCGTATCTCTTTCGCTTACACCATTAAGTTGGCAAACTCCTGCATATATATACATATAATTCACTGAGAATTAATTAATGCATTCCTAATATTACTATATATCTAACTTCATTATATTATTTTATAATAGTGAAACTCCCTTAATAATAAATACTGTACGTACATTTGTGCCTACAAAAAAATTGGTCACGGACCATTCACGTGCTATTAACTAATTAGACACGGTATCGGTGGCCAACTAGGTTTTTGTCAATAAGTACTATATTTATCTAAAAAGAGAATGGTTGCTTAGGTACGTACATTCATGCTTAAGAAGATTTTCAATCAAAGAACCTTGAAAAGAAGATAACAAAAATGACACTCATAATATGATATTATATCCAAAGTAGACATTGGTCCATTGATCGATTAGGACATTAATTGGTACTTAAATCCGAAATTAGAAACACTCTTTTTCACCCAAAAAAAAACCAGAAATGACAAGGAGATGCACAATAACTAAACAAATATTAATAAGCAGCGGACCGAATTAAGCTGACCGGTGTTGGTGGTAAGCTGAGAGGCCACTCATGTTGGTGCTGCCACTAAAAGGAGGGGCCACCACTTTCCAACTTAATTTTTCTCAATATGTTTTTTATTTTATTTAAATTTTCTTTTTAACCTTTTTAGCTTTTTTGTATTTTCAAACATAAAAAAAGTAAGACTAGGTGATATGAATGCTACAAATTTAACACGTGTTGCTCCTTCATATATCCTAAGTTTAAGATTCGAGGAAAAAGGTAAATGAGAATTCAAAGGCGTGCATATTGAGAAATTAATCTCACCTAATTCCTTATTTTATTAAAAAAAAAAGTACGGAAAAGGCGTAGACAGTGATCAAGAAAATCCACTTTATTGAAGTGATGATTTGTGGCTAGTGGCCAGATGAATGCACACATGAGGTTGTGGTCAAATATACGTAATGATGTTACAGGATGGCCTATATCCACTATCCAATACCAATGCAATCATGTCAAGTTAAAGATACCTAAGTTATAAAGAACATGTCCTCTATTAAATTTTCTGTTTAGAAAGAAAATAAAAACACCCTTTTAAGTTTTTTATACAAAATTATATAATGTACACATAAATTATCGCATTTAAAACAACGTCAATTAGCATGCGTGTAGTACATGGCCAGATGCTAATTAAGATCCCGGAAACTAAAGGGTGCATAATTCAAACACTAAAGATTAGGCACTAACAAAATGATAAGAGTTTTGTGAGGATCTCTTAATCGAAGCTTTCTCATAATGTACAAATATACTATTCAATAAAGAGACAATGATGCGATTCGCCAACTTCGAAATGTCTATGCTTTCTTAACCAAATGATGGTTTCTCACGCTATCAATGCCGTCATCGATTTCTCCACTTCAATCCACAATATATATATATATATATATAATAGTGTCTACGAATAGATTAAAGGAAAGGTATTTTTAACGGACAAGAAGCCCCTTCAAGTGTTTAACCCTCTCTAAAGTTGAGCATGGTCTTTTCTGCCTTAAACAAGACTCAAAAAAGGACAAAAAGTCCTATGGCTAGCTAGCTGGTCAAAGAGCAATTGTTCTACAATTGTTTGTGCATTATTTAATTGTAGCTTTACTTTTGTGACAAACACCACCTATATTCTCTCTAAGCACTAATAACAGCTGCTTTCAATAATACCTCATAAATTGATTGAGAATTGAGTTGCGGATTCATGAATAATGGTCCAAGGTTTCAAATAATAAGTTATATAGAGTTCTGATACTATATTAGACAATTACGTTAAATCTCAACAAGCTACACAGTTAAGAACTAATTCACAATGATACGAGGCAAATATATCCTAGGTTTACAAAAACTAACCAATACTCCGAAATTTGTTTTTTACTTTTTCTGCAAATATATCCAACAAGATATGATAAAAATATCCATCGTTGTTATAGAATTTTAAATATAAAAAACTCCATCATAGTTCGAGAAGATATGATGAATAAATTCGCAAGGGTCTTTCATTTTAAGGAGCAACATAACATGTCACTACCAATGCATGATCCGCAAACCCCCAATGAATAAAGGTCAACTTAATTGAACAAAATATATATAAATCTATATATAATTATATTTGCATTATATCATTGAGTAGCTCACATCACACCATGAAGCATTGGGATTGAGTGGACGGTCGAAAGCGGCATAGATAGCCCATAAGATCATTGAATCTCTGTTGAAATTAAGGATATTATATAGTGGGCTACATCCACTGTCCATACTATATTATTTTGTTTGCTGACTGCACTCTCAATACCACATATCTTCCTACTAAATTGGGGAAATATTGGAGGTCAAAAATCCGTCAATGGAAACCTTCTTTGGAAATTAATTAAAGGGTTATGTGCTGCACTAAAGGATTTGGAAGCCCCATCTACTAAATTAAAATCCGAAAACCTAATTTTTTTTTCCTAATCAAAGAACGAGATACGAGTTTAATTTGAAAACTCTTACAATATTGAGAATAGAAATACCACTATAAACAAAAGAAGACTTCCGATCCCTTGCATGTCTTGTTGGTACAAATTACTTGTCTCACAAAATAACCTTTCTTGAAAATATCTAGCTATTGACTTACACCCAATCTTATTAGTATAAGTTAAGACCACAACACAAGTTATGACAAGCTAGCCCAAAATTCTAATGTAAGCGGTGAGAATTGAATTGCAAAGGAATATTTACGGGCGCTACTCAAAGTTCAAGGCATTAGGAATTTGGTTATTTTATGTTTTTATATTATTTTAAATAGAGAGAGAGAGAGAGAGAGAGAGAGAGAGAGAGGTAGTGCATGAGTCAATTCAAGGGAAAGATCATCGTTCTATTTAACCAAAAGAGACACGTGGAGAGCACGAAAGCATTATGATAACATATCTGTTTTTTTATTGAAAGAAATGTTGCCTTTACAGAATGCCAAGTCATCCTAAAAGATCTGTTTTTTTTTCTTCTTCCTTTTTGTAGCTAGCTGTGTCTGGCTAAGTTCATCCTAACGTTTCTTGTGTATCATCAACGAGAAAATTACCAAAAAGGACTTGTGAAGTTGGGGGACACTGATAGTTAATGTACTCTGCCACCATCGATGGAAGACAGAGACTGATCGCCCATGATACATACAACCATGGCCATATGTATATGGATCGCAGTAAATAACAGCTGAAGTATGGACAAGGAATTGCTAGCTAGACCGATACTTACTTTTGGACATGGATCACCTTAACTGGATTATATGGACCCCACTTTTTTTCTCGGATATATGAACTAGTGAAAATGAATTGTTACTGAGAATTAAACCCTAAATTTATAAAATTATAAAGCATTCAAAATAATAGAATTAACTAAATTAGAACGACACTCTAAATATTGGTGTGATGGAGCAAAAATAAATTGATGAAATGACAATTAAGGTAAGCTAGAACAAGGTTGGAAAAGGTGGCGTACCATTAGCGAGATCAAGGAGAAAGTCCGCAGGGTTCATAGGAAAAGCCGGCGAGAAGCCAAGAGATCCAAAGTAGCTCATGGCCTCGCTCCCCTTCCCAAAATACAAGCACTTCCCATCGCTCAGCACCAGCACCGACTCGAGCATCTGGTAAACTCGGCTCGACGGCTGGTGCATGGAAGTCACGATCGTCCTTCCTTTCTGAGCCAGCGACTCCAACGTGCTGACCAGCCGGTGAGCAGCCGTAGAGTCCAAGCCTGACGTCGGCTCGTCCAGGATCAGCAAGCTGGGATTCATCAGCATCTCGTGCCCTATGCTCACTCGCTTTCTCTCTCCTCCCGACACGCCACGTATGAAGGTATTGCCGATGATGGTGTTCTCGCACTTGTGCAATCCCAGCTCGGAGATCACCGACTCGGCGGCGGAGATTTTGTCTCTTTTGGAGACGCTTTGAGGGAGGCGGAGGAGGGAGCAGAAAACGAGGGTTTCGCGGACGGTGAGGTGAGGATAGAGAACGTCGTCCTGAGTGACGAAGCCGGTCCTACGGAGGACGGCTTTGGTGAGGCTTCGTCCGTTGGCTAAGACGGTCCCATGGTGTCTCTGGGTAAGCCTGCCAGCAAGGGCGTTGAGGAGCGTGGATTTGCCGCTACCCGATGGCCCGAGAATGGCTAGGATTTCTCCCGGAGACACCATGCCTGTGATTCCATGTAGGATGGTCCGTTCTTGTGGCTCTTGTCCGGGTTGTCCCTTTTGCATGAGGCGTCCTTTTGAGAAACAGCAGCCGCCTTTGTACTGTAATTTGTTGTCTATCTTCACTCGGTAACACACGTCAAGGAACTGCATATCATCATCAAATTTAATTAATAAATTAAAACATGAAAGAAAATTTTCACCCCAAAAAAAAAAAAAAAAAAGAGTGGAAGCTCGCTAGAGTCAAATTTCAAATATTGGTCAAACACAAACGATGGAGTGATGCATTGATTATTATTGGTACCTTGAGAGTGATAGGGAAGCAATTAGAAGAATTGATCATAAAGGGCGAATGATCTGACGGTAAATCTCGATTGGGAGTTTGATGTTCACCACTAGTAGTAGTATCAGCCTCTGCTGCCATTATATGTGTTCTTCTTGATTGAAACTAGCTAGAATTAAGGAGAGAGAGAGAGACTACAAAGGAAAGTAAGATGAGGAAGAGTTGGAAGTTGATGAAATGAAAGGGAGAGAGAGAGGAAGAGAGCAAGAGATCAATTGAATGGAGGAGGTCGAGGGTATTTATTCATTAATTTAGGGAAGGGGGAGGGGCTCGGGTGCACTGCCACGTCAAAGTGAAATGCCCACAGCAGATGTGTTACGTGGCGGCTCCATGCACCATCTGGCAGCCTTTGGAGAAGGATTCATGGAGAAAATGTATATAGTATTCTGTAGTGTTATATGAAAATATGATGCCTCCCACTTCAAATATCTTTTTCTCTACTCTTTGATTCATTCTTTCCATCTTTCTTTTCTTTTTCCTTTTTCTTTTTAATTTAGTACCACAAGAGAGAGAGCTTTTTCCTTTTTCTTTTTAATTAAGTACATAAGAGAGAGAGAAATGGTGTTATGGGTAGCTCAGCGGTTATGCAATGAGTGATTATAGAATATTACAGTAGTATGCTACATTTTATACAAGTATTATAATATAATTGGATATTTATTAATAATATTTCTTAAAAAGAAGAAAAATAAGACATGTTATCCACCCATATTATAATATGCGTACAAGTAATAGTAACGGTAATTGCTCTCTGTCTCCTCTTCTATCTTTTCTACGTTTGTCCATTCTCTCATTCCAAAAACTTTTCTTTTTGTGTCTTGTATAGGAGAAATTATAGAATACTACGGTAGTATAAGTAATAGTAACGGTAATTGCTCTTTGTCTTCTCTTCTATCTCTTCTACATTTGTCCATTCTCTCATTCCAAAAACTTTTCTTTTTGTGTCTTGCATAGGAGAAATTATAGAATACTGCGGTAGTGAGCCCTACAAAGGTGTCCCTTAAATAAGCTAATTTGAGAAATCCCTCATATATATATATATATATATATCCTCAAATACAGATGCATGACCATATTTAAACACATTGGTCATAAGTTAGTGATGATGTGTGTATATATATGGTCCCTTTTTATTGAGGGATCCCTCAAATAATTTTATTTGAAGGACACCTTTTAGGATACATTATGATTTTTTTTTTAATGATTCAAATCGTCTATTTTTCAACTCTTCATTCATAGATCATATTGCAAAAAATCTGAAAAAATTGAAAATCATTAAGGTATCCAATTGCAAGCAACAAAATAGACGAACACAGTGTTTCAAGAAAAGACTAAAATAATAATAATCTAATTGAGTGGTCAAATGGTTTCGGATTCAAGTGATTTTTTGCATATATGATCTTTGAGTGAATATTTAAAGGTTACATTGTTCAGATCCTTTGAAAAACAATATGTGGTGGGCTGTATAAGGGTGTCCCTCACACATTGAGGGTTTTATGGCCCATTACATATGTATTTTAATTATGGATTGCAATTTCGGACACAACCCGATACACGACTCGAAAACGGCATGGAAAATTAGCCGGTCAACTTGCACGATTAAATTTTCAAGTCAACCCATCATAACCCGTTTAATAAACTGGTGGGTTTCGGGTCTACCAGCTAAAATATCTACATAACCCGTTAAACAAAATGGGTCATGGCTGGTCAACCCTCCAATCCGCTAAAATACCTATTAACCCGCTAAAATACCTATGTAACTCGCTAACCTACTAAAATACACGTGTAACCCGTCAACCCACTAACCCGTTTATTAAAAAATTGTTTTCATATATTTTGTTCATCTCAATTAGATGTTTTAGTTGTTTTCACGTTTTTTAAGTTTTACAAAGGTGATATATGTTTGAAAGCTTTTATAAAAAATTAAAAAAAAAAGGTTTGAATCATTAAAAAAAATTCGAAATGCACTGTAAAAAGTGATTCTCAAACAAGGTAGTTGAGAAATCTATAAATAGAAAGGAAGTGATATACAAACGGATGCCCACATTCTAAAACAACAGCTAGCTAGTAATGACATACTTCTTTCAAAGTACAAAAACATGAAATATGAAATGGTAGGTGATTTAGAGGCAGAGCGAGAAACAGGGTGCTACACACCAAAAAGCACACCGCATGACCCGGGAGATATTCAGGCCTCTTTTGAATATCACTATCTTTTTTCTTGCTTTTGCTGCTGCAACCAAATTTGATCAGCACACCACTTATTAGCAAGACTTTCCCTTTGAATACAATTCTCAGTGGATGCGGTTGTGGTGAGGTTTGCTCGTGGACATGTGTCGAGCGCGCGACGCTTGTAGCACGTGATAGCCCTCCCACTCACTTTCAGAAACTCAGCCTTCCAGTTTCTTTTTCTTTATTCCCCCCACCACTATCTTTTGTTTTCTTTTCCCCCTTACGTTAGGCCTTTTTATACAATGGTAAGATTTGGTACAATGGATCAAGGTGTACTTGTCCCGCTCCTATTCGACCACATGATCCAAAAACTTACTCAGTGGGGCCTTTGCAACGTCAAAGTTGACTCACTATTGATCTTTACTACTATTTCAAAAAAAGAAGAAGGCTAAAGCTTCATTTTTTTAAACCAAAAATAAAAAATCAGAAATAGACATGCAATTAACTATACAAATTTAATTCATATGACATGAGTGAAACAAATAGTTATTGAAATCCAATCAAAGAAATTATGCAGTATACCTATCTGTAACACCCCGACCCCAAATTTATCCCATGTTTTAATTTATTTAAGTGGAATTGAGAAATTACCCGTGGGATAGGGGTATTTTAGTTATTTTCTTATCCGAAAAGAATTTGGGAATTCCGGTTGTACCGTTGCGTAGAGCACGGTGAGATGAGTCCGTAGACACATAGTGGGCTCGAATCGGAGTTGTAACGAGAGAGATATGATCAAAAGAAGCTCAGTGGCATAATCGTAAATATTTGGAAAATGAAACCCGGACTCCCCCCCGTCACTCTCTCTCTCTCTCTCCCGCGCGTGCTCCTTCTCTCTCCTCCCCGCGCGCAGCTCCCCCGAGCACTGTTCACCGACGCCATTTTTGGGTCAGCGCCGCCGCCACGGTGCACCATCGGCCACCAGACCGGTCGGGTTCGAACTCCGGCCGCCGTTTCTGGTGATTGAGGTATGGATTCCTACCTAATTTTCATGATCTAACTGATGGTTGGGTAGGATTGCATCAATTTTGAGTGTAGATCATCCGATTTTCGATTTAGGTTTCGGCCGGTTTTGCGATCGCGATTCCGGCC